TATCATTCTTCATTTTACACAAAAATTATATCAATGAAAATAAAATAACTGCATTTATTGAACTCATGGCGGATCTACCGGTTTTAAACTAGGTAATTCATAGTCACGCAACTTGCGATTCGAAGAACAGTTTATTTGTACACTTTCACAGCATGTGTGATAATGTAAACGTTTATAGCTTACTTTAGCCCAAATATCATCCATTTCATTTGCTTTGAATAACACTTTTCTCCTTACCACTGCTGACCAATTGGCCCCTCCAGTCATTAGACCGAAAACCCCTCTATAAATGCAGTAGCATAGCAAATTTAGAGCTATTGCGTTGGAAAACTTAAATGAAAAAATTAGCTTCATTTTCAGGTAGGCTATTACCTAGATGAAAAAAACAACTGGGCACTGAGTATTGAAGAACTGGAACGAGCTTACCAGGAATCACTGGAGAAATACAATACTCGGGTGCTCTGCATTATCAATCCAGGCAATCCGACCGGTTAGTAATTCACTCTTTAACCAGTTCTAGAACTTTAGAACAGAGACGGTAGTACTAGTTCGAGTTTTCGAAATGGTAATAATTTTTAGAATGCCTAGAAATTTGTGTCGAGTAATTTGCTGGGTGTGATTACTTCGATCTCAGCACTAAGCGAACTTTGGTAGCAGTAAAAAATTTCTCCGGAAAAAATTTATAGTCTTTAACGCGTCCAAATTTTGACATCTTTGAGACTTTTCACAGAAATCTTTCCCCAGTCCACAAAAAGGCAAAAAAGAAGTATTAGAAGATGCCATTTGACATGGTTTTCGAAAAATACAAAAATATTATAGTGCAGAAGAAACCCTAAGTAATAATCATGTATTTACTTAAAAGCTGATATTTAGGGCAAGTTCTGTCAAAAAAGAACATCGAAAAAATTATCAAATTTGCATACGAAAACAGGCTTTTTATAATAGCCGATGAAGTAAGCCTTCTCGTTGCTAACTGAAATTCCAAACAGTTTGAGACCTTGTTCCATATTCCAGAAAACTTGCGAAAATTTTTTGTGAGGGAAGAATCGGTACGCCTTCCTGGCATATATGTTGAATTTATGGACAGCTTAATTGAGGCAACTCTTGCCCCGTCGCTGCATTTAGAGGACCCTGACTAAAACAGTAACGATGACTATCCTTTTTTATACACATTTGAGAAATCTTTTCACAGGCGATTTGCAGGGGCTGCATGTCGTATTCTTTTGTTCGGCCGCCACAATTCTATTTCAGTATCGGAAGAAACGTAAAATAAACCACCGGAAGCGAGAGCTTTTTGTTTTTGTAACAAAGTCAGGCGATCTGAAACATCATTGAGCAGCTAGGAATGTCATTCTCAAAGTTGTACTAACTAGCAGCCAACAATGTCCGGCCAGAATTGCTACCAAGTAACGGACAATATTACTTGTGAGGTAGGGGTGATGGTAACACAAGCGACAAGATTGGTGTGGTATACGGTAGATGGCGATGGGTGTTGCTCAAAAAAACGTGTTATGGAACAAGAAAAAAACTTAACAGCTGCCATTATCATCAGTACAAAATCAATTTATGCCTATGAGTTACAGCAGCATTGAATTCGGTGATAGACGCATACCACGCGCAGCCCACTGAGCTAAAATACGACACGCGCAGTCCGCACTGTCATTGATGGCGTGGAGGTGTGCTACGATGAAACAGCAGCTGATCAATGTGAGAACTGCGTGAACAGGGATTTTCTAAAAATGGCCCATTTCAAGTGCTCCATTTGCAGGTCTATCAGGACAATGTTTACGCAGAAGGCGCCAAATTTTACAGCTTCAAATCAGTGATCACATCGCTTGGCGAGCCGTACTCGAAGTAACACTCTTCTTCTCACCCCATTGCTTCAATTAATCAATTTTAAAAGTAATTTAGCGCTTGCCGGTTAAATTCATTGCCAATTCAATTCAGTTTCTTCTCCCTCAAGATTTTCTTTCCGACTGCGGCGAACGGAGCTCTATTCCTAAAATTGTCCTGGACAGGGAAGGAATCGAACCACTCCTCTTCGCATCCACACGCAACTTGTTACCAATACATCACCGGCCGCTAAGCCCCGCAAAAAAATTTGGTGTTTATCTATTTGCACTCACATACTTCTTTTGATGGCTTTTCGCGGAAATTCAGTCACGGCACCTCCAGCGCTTTACTCGGCAAGAGTAACTCGAAAATATCAAAGTGCTGTGCATTATGCTTCATTTTACATTAAGCTTCGTCATTTCACATCTGTGATTTTAGCATGGAATTATGCTCGTTTCATTCGTGCTCGAAAGGGTACATGGGTGAATGTGGTTTGAGAGGCGGGTACGTGGAGGTGATGAATATGCATCCGGTTGTTTTTGCGCATTTCAAGAAAATGATTTCTGCAAAACTTTGCCCAACCGTCCTTGGACAGGTATTCAGAACATTTTTTGCCGTAATTATAAAATTAATCGTTTCTTGTAAACCAGAAAGACATTTTTTCAAGATTGCTGATGCACCGTCTTGTCCATATTTTCTAGGTTGTTATGGATTGTGTAGCGAATCCACCGAAACCTGGTGAACCTTCATACGAGCTATGGATAAAAGTATCGCTTTTGAACTCGCCTTTTAAAATGCAGCTAAAATTTTCATCAGTTGATTCAACTTCTCATGTAGATTCATGCAGTACAAATGAGGAGAGGCATACTTCGGGTCAAAATTATCATTTGCCCGTGATGCTTCTCGTTTGCTAGATTTTTTCAGTCGATTGTGGGCAAAAAAATTGTGTTTTGAACCCTTTTTTGTAGTAATTAGCACTTCTCTCAATTGCCAAACCATCTATTTTTCACTGACAGGAGAAGACATCAATATTGCAATCGTTGAAAGAACGTGCGAAACTTGTATGTGAAGAGTACAATGCAATTGAGGGGTTAACATGCAATCCAGTGCAAGGTGCCATGTATGCATTCCCACAAATCAAAATGCCTAAAAAAGCAATTGACAGAGCAAAGGTTGGTGGCAAACATATAATTTTTCGACTCGTTCCTCAACAAAATTTACTCCCAAAATCGTATTTTTCTAATTTTTGTTTCAAATTAATGTTAGAATGAAATGCAAAACTATAAAATACTGTTTGCACGCTCTTTCATAAATCAAAAAGAAAAACATTATGGCAATGCCGTTAAGAGTATGCATGATTGTGTACAAGTTTATATATACGCGTTTGTCTGCCGGAGGAATTTATTATATCCAGGATTGCAAAAGTTGGGATTCTGAAATTTCGGGAGAAAATTTATCGGCCAAGTACAGTTTCGGAAATCCAAAAAAAAGCTTTTACGGTTTTTTGTGGCCCATGTGTGACTGCGCTTCTGCTACCCATCAATTCGAAACATATCAAAATGGTAGTGGGATAGGAAGTACTTGGAATGATTTAGAGTTTGGGACAGATCGCATCGGAGAAGTAGCGGCTTCTACGCAAGTTTTCAAAGCAATTATTAAGATATGCCTCAAAAGACCCTGGTTCAGCCTAACGAGCACAAAAAATTTTGAAAAATACGAAAGCTGCATCAATTCAGTTCAACAATTCATGAAGTTAAAAAATCATCAGCTTTTGCAAAGTCACTTCGTCAAGTAGTTGGAAAATTCATCAAACCACAGTTTTAGCGATGTCCTGCCATTTCAGGTTCAAACTCAAATCAGTTTTGTAGGCGAAATCAAAAGTTACAATTTTGAAAAATTCT